TTTTATCAAGTGATCCGCCAAAACTTTATATAGTAATCCGCCAAATATTTTGATTGCTTAAATAAAACTCTTTACGTTTTACCAACTGTTCTACTTAGAAACAACGTGATCCGCCAAACTTTATGATGTGATCAGCTTAATATTTTGATTGCTTATATCAAACTCTTTAAGTTTTAATGATTATTGTACCAAAAAACAACGTGATCCACCTATTTATATTAAGTGATCCACCAAACTTTACAAAGTGATCCGCCTAATATTTCGATCGATTAAATCAAACTCTTAAAGTTTTAATAATTTTCCTACCAAAAAACGTGAATCGCCATTTATATCAAGTGATCCGCCAACTTTTATATATTAATGTCCATTTATCCGCCATTTATCTGCATTTATCCGCAATTCATATTTGTTTATATTACAAATAAATGATTGGGTATTTGAAATTGGAAATTTGGATAAATGGCGGATTTATTGGCGGATCACGTTGTTTTTTGGTTGAACAATCATTAAAACTTTAAGAGTTTGATATAAGCAATCAAAATATTAGGCGGATCACTATATAAAGTTTGGCAGATCACTTGATATAAATTGGTGGATCACGTTGTTTTTTCGCAAAATAATCATTTAAATTTAAAGAGTTTGATATTAGCAATCAAAATTTTAGGCGTATCACTATATAAAAGTTGGCGGATCACTTGATATAAATGGCGGATCACGTTGTATTTTGATAGGAAAATTATTAAAACTTTAGGAGTTTGATTTAATCGATCGAAATATTAGGCGGATCACTTTGTAAAGTTTGGTGGATCACTAAATATAAATTAATAGATCACGATTTTTTTTGGTAGAACAATCATTAAAACCTTAAGAGTTTGATATAAGCAATCAAAATATTAGGCGGATTACTATAAAAAGTTTTGGCGGATCACTTGATATAAATTGGCGGATCACGTTGTTTTTTGTAAAAATGATTTTAAAATTATATAATATTTTTAGTCGTTTATTAAAATTATAATTTGCAAATGCCTTTTAAATATTGTTTTTTAAATGAACTTAAACTAGGGTTGTTAACCGGAGGATTTCGTGCAATTCCGGAAAAACAACATTCTTTCGTAAGGAGATTGAGAAAGAGAAATTACATTTTTTCGTACCGAATGTTACAAAACATTTAAAATCGCCGATGTTCATTTCGCAAAAGCCACTTCCGAAATTTAGCATTTCGCAAGTTGACATACGAAACAAAACTATTTTGCAACATACGAAAGTAGTGGTCTCGGAAGTCGCACTTGCGAAACAAATATTTTCGCCAAACGACGTTTTGAAGTCTATAAAGAAAATTTGTTTGCCAGACTGATTTTAGTTGTAAAAACTAACATCTTTAAATCCCAAAATGTTTATAATGAATTTTTATTTTCAGTATAATAACATATTAAATTTTTATGGTTTTATTTTTAGAAATATTGATAAAAAATAAAATTTCTTTCGAAACGAAAGTATTTCGGATCACAACATACGAAAGAACTCTTAACGGAAATAAACTATATAACGATGTTTTTTGAATTCATTACGTATATTAAAAATAAGAATGATGGGTAGGAATATACATGTTTTTTTTTCAAAGCATATGAAATTTTTGAAACAGGTTCGAATATGCTAAAGCAAATAGTAAAAAGAGGCTTAAAAATATGCTTTAGCTTAAGCATATTTCTGATAAAATATACCTATTTCAATAATTTCTAAAAGTGTGCACGTTACTAAAGTTCTTGCAGATTTTAAAGGTATGTAGAGTCCTGTTTGAATACAATTTTTGAAGTATAGATCTTAGAAAATATTGTTTTTTAATTTTAATAAGATATAAATTTAAGTATAAGATCGTATAGTTCAATCAATTAGATACGTGATAATTTGCCGCAGAGATCCGGGTTCGCATCCCGCAGCCATTGTAACTTTTGTTCATCAAACTCTTTTTACTTAAGACAGCATTTTTTGATTTCCATGTTCTATATTACAGATCTTTCGTCACCTTCATAATAGTGACAACCTCTCTTCTGTTAGTTATTCTTTTAAGATTGAGTTCATTGTGCTTAATTCAACACGTTTCCTTTGCTTTACTAAGTTCTACTTAAATTACGATGAAATGTACGTAAAACAACTTTTTCAAATAATATAAATCATTTTGCTTTAAATCTTTTGCTTTTTGTACTAGACATCTGTCCTAAATACCTTGTAATAATTTCTAGCTAACTCTGAGTCTAATATAACCATTTCTGAATATAATTTCCCTGAGGCTCCTACAGCCTATTGTGTTCCATTAAAAGTAACTAGTTTTTGAGTCCAGATATTAATTATAAGCATCTAAAGGTTCACATTACTATTCATTTTCCTGATATATAGAATCCTATTTGCATACGTATCTCTTTCTGTAAGTTCTTTTTTATATAGTTTCTTAATTATATATTAAATAAATATTACTATTCACTTAGTTGAATGAACGTATAGCTCATTCAGTTAAGACATTTGGCCGCGTAGAGTTCACATCCCGCTGTTTCACATATATTTCTTCTCTTTTTACTCTTTCTGATATCATTTACCTTTAGAGAGATCTCTCGTTCTTTATAATATAGTAATTGTTTATCACACATCCTCTTTATACTTTTTAAAAAGAAAGGCATACTGTTTATCTGTTCATTGAGAGTCCAACTTAACGGGATTTTACTGTACATATATGTCTATATATATATATATATATATATATATATATATATATATATATATATATATATATATATATATATATATATATATATATATAAATATATATATATATATATATATATATATATATATATATATATATATATATATATATATATATATATATATATATATATATATATATATGTATATATATATATATATGATATATATATATATATATATATATATATATATATATATATATATATATATATATATATATATATATAATATATATATATATATATATATATATATATATATATATATATATATATATATATATATGTATATATATATATATATATATATATATATATATTATATAATATATATATATATATATACCGTCAAAATGATCCGCCCCGCTGATCCGCCCTGCCCCGCCGATTGTACCTGCCCCAAAATATCATACAGACGCTCTAATATTTTAAAAGTGCCTTAACTACACCGAGTACGTCTCGTAAAATTATAAATATAAGTAACTTTTAAAGTAAACATACAGGAAGTTATTTCTACAAGTTAATATAAAATTACATGTTATGATTTAAACTTTTTTTCATCATTAATTTTTTTTTACAATTTTTTAGGTTTTTTATATACTATTTAAAGATTATATAAAAAAATTGTTATATTTATATATTTATATTTAAAACCGTTAATATAAAATAAAATTTCTACGCAACATCTTCTTTTCAAAGGATTATTATTATTATTTTTTTGCTTTTTTGAGAACAATAAAATACATTGGGAAAAGTAAACTTCCATAACAACACCATGGCGTTATTATTACCATCTTTTTCATTAAAACACTGTCATTTCAGGGCCGACGACACGGGTTTTGAAGTGGGGGGAGGGGGTACAATCATAAATTTGTGAGAAAAGTCCTTTATATCTTTAAAAAAATTTATTTAAAAAATCTTTTCTTAAAAAAAAAAAAAATCCTCCAGAATAAAAGTAAGGGGGGGGGGGGGACGTATCCCTAGCCCCCCCTCCCTCCCTGTGTTGTCGGCCCTGCGTTTGGAGAACTCTATTTATATGTTAAACAATCAGTGACGGATCCAGCTTTGGTGTATTATTTGGTGTATTTGGAGCTTTATGTGTTATCTGAATTTTACATTTCAGATAATACTTAAAATTCAGATAATACAAAAAAAACAAAAAACAAATAGAATAGATTATTTAATAAAAAGATATTTATTAGTTTTTTTTTTGATTAACGTTTTTGATTAACGTTACTTTGATAAATTTTTATAAAGTTACAAATAAATCACTTGCTTATAATCATTACAACTATTATTATTTGTTTTTAATTTTTACTGTTTTATGTTATTATTATTTTTTATTTATTTTTAATTCGTCAAATTTCTGATAACCAAGTTTAATGAATTCGCTCGTCGCTATTCGCTTAATGAAAACACTATTTGCCGGGCGATGTTAACAGCTCTATTATCCCCGTGCGATGTAAACCGCTCCTCCTCGGTACGCCTTTATTGATTTATACGATAGTCGTTATATTAATAATTATTTTACTTTTAATCTTGATCTAAAATAAAAATCCATTAAATCCAAGGTGTCGAAATTCTCAGCCTTTGCAAATATTTTGTCCTATTTTTAAGTCAAATGCGGTAAATAGCTTATGCGCCTTCTAGACTTTGCCTGGTAAATCTTATTAAGTTTGCATAACATAGCTCACTCGGTTTGCAGGGCGTATAAAATAAAGCTCTTCAAATTAGAAATATTGTTTGAATCGAGCTTATAGTTAGGTGTTCTGAATAAGTGATATTATCAATCGTTTATTAAATAAACTCATTTAATAAACCTTTCAATAATTATAAAAAAAAAAGATTTACAATCAAACGTTAAATGCAATTATGCACATCAAAGTATATATAATATACACACACATACTTTGATATATATATATATATATATATATATATATATATATATATATATATATATATATATATATTTATATATATATATAAATATATATATATATATATATATATATATATATATAATATATATATATATATATATATATATATAAATATATATATATATATATATATATATATATATATATATATATATATATATATATATATATATATATATATATATATATATATATATATATATATATATATATTTATACATATATAATATTTACATTTTATTTAATCTTTTTATTTATGTATACATAATTCCTTACTGATATACTATTTTTTAGTTTTTAATATATTAATTTAAAACTAATTATTAATTTTAAAGCACAACAAGTCATGCTTTGTCAGATATATACAATAATTGAATAACCATGAAAGTATTACTAATATATTCATTAACAGCTTTTCTACTAATTCATGTTATTGCTGCTTTACCAGGTAAATAATTTTTATTTGAATCCTGATTTAAAGGGATTTAAACATTAGAAATAATAATTGATAGAATAATTTTTAAAGATGATTTCAAATATTTAAATATTTAAAGCATTTTCCAGAGATTCAGTTGTTGGTTTTTATAGTTATTCACTCCAATGTGAGTAAATAACTTACGTATGTGTTTTAAGTTGTTAAGTTAGCTGATTTCTAAAAGTTCTATCCTTTTTAAGTTATTTTATCAATATTGAGTTTATAAATAATTATAAGAAGAATTTTTTTGTTAGTGCAATAGGCTATAAAGTAATTTAAATTTTGCATCATAGTTTTTACTAATTATATATATATATATATATATATATATATATATATATATATATATATATATATATATATATATATATATATATATATATATATATATATTTTTAATATAACTCTGTTAATGTATTGTTGCAGGGATGTCCTACCTTTTTACAGTAAAGGCCATTTTTCATTTTGACAACATGAGGGCCAAAAATATAAATTTAAAAAAAATAAGTTAGATCAACTTGAAACTTTTTATTTAAATTTAGACTAGGTGTTACAAAAATTTATTTAATGTAAAGCTTTGCGTTTTTTTTTGTGCATAAATTTTCAATATCTGCTTTTATACTGAATGACATAATTCAAAGAGTATCATTAAGGTGCTCATCATTCAATCTATTCCTCTGCTCTAATTTAAGATGCTTCATTTTTGAGATTAAAAAGTTTTACACAGTTTTTATCATATTTTTAATAGTAATAAGGTTTACTACTCTTTTGTAATATTTTTTGTGAATAAAAAAATTATTTTGTTACCACTTTGTAAACTATATACTTTAGTTTTTATCAATTACTGTTGACCAAGAACTTTTTTGAAAAGCAGCTTATCTTGTCAATACAAAGTTGGCCTTAAATTCTTTACAATTTTAGCATTTTTTTCTTTAAAATTTTTACATATGGCTGCTATTTTAAATAAAGACATATAACATTTTATAGTACGCCTTATATTACATCTAAATATAGATTTTTTAATTTGTGATAAAATATAATGATAACAGTAGTTAGGTGTGATAAAAAAAATGTATTAAAAAAAAAATAAAAATAAAAATATTTTAAATATTGGAAATTGATATATGGGTTATATCTGAGAACATTGAGGGACATTTCGTGGCATGCTGGACTTGCGTTGGACAACCCTGTATTATCATATAGCATTATTCTTAGTTTTCATATTTGTTTTTTTTTTAATTCAAAGATGTTTCGTCTAAAAATACAACATGCGCCTCAAATCAATTTCAGTGTACTTCTGGAAGTTGCATTCCATTAAAATGGAGATGTGATTCACGTCGTGATTGTAATGACAAAAGTGATGAGCTAAACTGTCCTGGTATTTTTAACTAGTTCTTATGAATATGTATTCTATTAGTATAATAAAAATAATAAAACTAACACTAGTATTAATAATAATATAGATAATAAAAACAATAGTTATTAAAAAACTGTAATAATAATTAGTTACAAAAAAGGTTGGTTTTAATAATTAGATTTATTTTTAGAATCATGTGATCCAGCAAGTTATTTCCTATGTAATTCAACTGTTTTACCGAAATGCATTCCTCTTAAATTTAAATGTGATTATGAACGTGATTGTTATGATGGAAGCGATGAGCAAAATTGTTGTATGTGTGTCAACTTGAATAATTTTTAATTTTTTTTGAAAACATAATTTGTTATAAATGTATTTTTTTAAATATCTGTAGTATAGAAATAGAAAAAATTTAATAAGTATGTAGTATATATAAAATATATATCAAAATAGCAATTAAAAAAAAAAATTATTTTGCAGTATCCAAGAAATGTCCAGATGAAAATGAGTTCATGTGCTCAACAACAAAAAAGTGCATTCCATCATCATGGAAATGTGATGGCCAATTTGAATGTGATGACTTATCTGATGAAACAAACTGCACATGTACATTATTTGAATTACTTATTTTTAAGTTTTAATAAACTGATTTAATTTAAACTTTTTTGATAAACTTGTTTAATCTATAATTTTTAGATTATAAAACTAAACCACCATTTTGTAATCCAGAAAATCAGTTTATTTGCAATGATGGTCAATGCATTAACAATAAGTGGTATTGTGATGGGTATCCTGATTGCTTTGATAAAAGCGACGAACCAAGCAATTGCAGTGAGTTGTTTCTTTTGTTATTAAAAGATGAGAAAATTAGAGACTAAGAATTTTATTTAGTTAAATTAAAAACAAATCTTAGTAATTATTATCTCATTAATGATATATTATCTCATCACTAGATTCTTAATGCAAAGCTTGAGCTGAGAATAACTTGCAACTCTTGCAAAATATTTTAAAGAAAAAAAAAATTATTATAAGTAATAATTATAGACTTTTTTAACATATCAGTGTAAGGAAAAACTTTATAAACAACTGGCTTCAGTTTAAAGTATCGCAAGACCTTCTAGTTGTAATCTATGTGAACTGTTGTATACATCATATCTTTTCTAAAAGTTGTATAGGGAATACAGTTTTATTTTTGATTTAGAAATGAAGCAGTCTACTTTAGTTCAGAAAGTTCTAAACAGTTGTTACTTGTATTTTTTTTTTTAATTTTAGAAAAGTAAAAAATATAAGTGTTACTTGCTATTTTTTTTTATTTTGCAAAAATTTTCTTTATTTAATTTAAAATAATAAGTATAATACCTCTTGGTCTCAGCCATCAATTCTATTAGAGATGAACCTGAGCCACAAATGCATTGTGTCAAAACCAACTTGGTTTTGCTAGTAATTAGTAAATTCTTTATTGTTTTATACTACAGTTTTGATTTTAACTTGATTATAAGCTAAAGCATTTTTTTGTTTTTTACAATGTTTTTATTAATAATTAGTTATAGCTGTGTATATTAAAATAAAAAAAAGTATAATGCTACTTTTACTTGCTACAAAACATAAGAAAAATAAGTTAAGCATGGTACTACCAGGTATCATGTCCCAAGTAGTACCATGCTTATCTTATTTAGTGTACTACATACGATAGTTTTTAGTAATCAATGGTAAGTATACATGTAGTAAATATGTAAAAATGTCATGTACTACGTACTACCTATGTAGTAGTACTAATAGGTAGTACATATTACTACTAAGTAGAACCATGTAGTGACTAAATGGTTATTACATGGTTCTACTAAGTAGTAATGCATACTACATATAATACAGTAACTAAATGTTCCCTGAAGTACCAACTGCCTTAATTTAAATTAGTTTTTCTACACAAATATTATTAATATATTTGTTTTATAATTTATTTTTAATTAAAAATAAATTAATTTAAAAGTTCTTTAAAACTTCATTTTTTAGATAAGAAAAAATGTGCTGAAAATGAATACTCATGTAAATTAAATCAAAAATGTATTCCTAATGCATTTTTATGTGATGAGAAGGAAGATTGCGATAAAAATTCAAATCAAGCGAATTCTGATGATGAAAATCCTTCAATGTGTTGTGAGTAAAATCTATTTAATGCATTGTTTATTAAGTTGTGATATTATATAAAATAATATATATGCTTGTAATATATAAAATATTATTATGCATTATATCAAATATAAATATGCAAACTTAATTACTAAAAAAAAAAAATTTTTTAAATTAACTTTTTCAGTAATTAAGTTTTATACTGATTTTTTTAGCTTTACTTTTTAAATGTGAAGAAAATTTTTTCAAATGTCCTGGAACTCGCCAATGTATAAGTCTTGAAAAACTTTGCAATGGAGTAGCTGATTGTTCTGACTCTGCAGATGAAGGGTATAAATGCGGTATAAATGTTATCTATTTGTTTTTTATTTATTTGACCAAAAGTTTTTAAAAAACTCTTTGCAAGTTCAGTTATAAATTTTTTAAATTCAAACTTTTTTTTTACACATTTTTGTAATGTTTCTTTTTTTACCATTACATTTATTCGAAATGTTTTTTTTTCCCTTACTTTTTTTGTAATGTTTTGGGCATAGTGAGATTTCTCACATTGAACCAAATAGCATTTTCAGATGAAAAGTTGTTAAAGATATTTTTGTATGGACTTTATTACTTTTTATTATTGCCTACTGACCCTGACTCATTAAAGTTTTTTTTAACCATACAACTGTGCAATAAAATTATGTGCAATAAAAGATGTTTAAAAAATATGTGCAATAAAAATATGTGCAATAAAAGATGTTTAAAAAATATGTGCAATAAAAATATGTGCAATAAAAGATGTTTAAAATTTCAAATTCTTTTAGTTGAAATTTAAAATGTAATAATTGTTAATATTAAATATGTTAACAGATCAAGTCTACAGAATAATATAAAAACTATTAAAACATAACCACTTAATTGTATGGATTTTGCATCACTGGTTGGAATATTCCATAGCTTTAATGACACAGTTGATTACAAAATCATTATCAGTTCTTTTCAATATTCAAACAGTAATTTTTTGAGGATGTGCAGAGTTGAAAATATGCCTACCCAACTAAATATTGTCTGCTTTCATGTCCATCTTATAGGACTGCACTATACACTTTTATACTAAATTGTTTTTTTTCATTCATAATTAACAATAATCTGAGTTACTTCTAAGTTTTTTGTTCTTTTCATAGATGTTTCCCACTAGACTATAAATTAAAACCAGTAAAATAATTAATTCTTTGGTTTGCACATGAATGTCTACCAGTAGCACACTCTGAAAGAGTTATCTTTGTGCTATTTAGAAAAAAGGTCATAACCAATATCCAATGCACATTTACCAATTTAAAAAGGTCATAACCATTATCCAATGCATTTTTATCTTGACAACTTACTAATAAAAGCCAATTATTTAGCTAAACTAATTTTTTCAAGTTCTCAAAATGTATTTAAAATATCATAGAGCTCTTCAGTTTGACTTCAGTTTTTGCTTACATCTAAATTAATCAAAGTGTTTTTTAGGTAAATCAATCTTAACTTTTTTCTGATGAATTAATGTCTTTATATATAATTGTGTGAAATTTTAAAAGGTTATATAATAAAATGTGTCATTAAAAAAAAAAATTCTATTTTTAATCCTTTAATAACTTCTGAACTAAAAGCATATATTGAAGATTTCAAGATTTGTTGCTTATTAATTAAGTGCCTTAACCATAACTTATTGGTGTGAAGATCGCACATAATTTAAACTAATCTCTTAATCAAATTTTTTTCATTCTACTGATAGAATCAAACCACGTTCCAAATCAGTATTTTCATTTTTGTTTTCTCCTATGGGTTTTGATTGCCTTCCTAACTTACTTTCCGTCAATCAGCTAACAAGGTGATCTGCAATTATCTCAGCATATTTTCTGTGATCATTCTTATCCAGAACAAACTGAAATAGATATTCACCATCTTCAATAACTACAAAATGTTTTTCCTTGACAAGACAATGGAAATATCTACCAATATATTATTTAAATAGATAATATTTTTAGATATTAGTTAATAATCAACAGAATATATTTTTGTATTAACTTTTCTGCCATTGAAAAAGATATAGAAAACCTTTTTATTTTCAAGATCTTTATCAAATCTTTTACCTAATTCCACTGCTAACTCGTGCCCTTGTTGTGATCATTAATCAACAATGTTCAACACATGTTCAATCCTATGTTATATAAGTTATGTTGTACTATAAGCTTAAGTATCAATAATGTTGATAAATTGATTAATTTTTTAAACATTACTTTATCAACATTCAACAGCTGTTGAATGTTGATAAAGTGATTTTATTAAACATCGCTAAACATTTTATCTTATGTAAGAATTAAGTATACATTCATTTAAATTATTTCATATTCTAATAAACATATTCTATAGCTACTTGATTAATCCATAATAATCATTCAGAATTGTTTGGTTGATCTCTTTTAAATTTCTTCATTCTCTTTTTTTATTCCTGAGAATAATTTTTTTATTTTTTATTTTTCTTGATTTAGTTATGTCAGCGCTAACAAAGTGGTAATGTGCATAACTTCTAGCTTTATCTCTCTCGGTCTAGATGAGTTAAGTTTTAATAGAGGAATTTTATTTTCTTCCCCATACACGCATTCAATATGCACTTGCTTTTTACCGTCATACTCTTGCATTTTACAAACATACTCTAAACAAAAAGTTATTTTACATGATAAAAAATCTAAGAGTTTGAAATTTTTGAAATGAACCTATTAAAATTTCCAAGGCTAATTTAACTGCAGTTTCCCAAATTACCTTTAATGTTAAATTCTTTAACTAATTTAGGAGGTACTAACCTGCAATTAGCATTTTTCCCCCGAAAAGATAAGGCTTGAGTCATATCAGTATCAAGTATATCTACTGTGTAGTTCTTTTATTCCAATAGGTACTCCAATCTTTGTTTTTCTTGATCATCAAATCTACTTAAGGGAGTAGTTGATGTATATCTATTTTTTAAAGTGCCATTTTTTTTAACTAAAAAGATTAAGACCTAAAAACTTTAATATTATTATTATAAACCTAAAGTCTTTAAAACAAACTAAAAACTGTAGCTACAGCCTAATTTAAAAGTTTCAAAGTAATACTCCATTTCATTTAAAAAATCTTACCATTGTTTTGCTATAAAATTGTATTTTTTCAAAACATTCAGTTTTAGTCCCTATATCAACACACCCTTTCTTTAATAAAAACCTAAAAATTTTATGTAATTTTAAATAATATAATAGTTAAAATTATAATAGATAATATTATACTTAATAAACGTCTTCACAGTTCCAAAAAATTAATGTGAGTGTATTTAATAGTTTGTTATTGTTCTTTATGTGCTTAATTGCATGAAAATAAGTAATTACACATATAAGTTAAGATTGTAACCTTGAATAAGAAAAAAAAATTTTTTCTTTTTCTTTTTTTAATAATTTTTTTTTTTTTATTTTATAATAAAGACGATTTAGCTTGATATAAGTTTATTATAACTATTTTAAGTCAAAAATCTATAGTGTTTTAAAATAAATCTATGTTTTATACAATAATTGTAATCAAGGAAAAAAAAAGTTTTGGATATTAAGTGTAAAAGCTCTAAATAGTATTTAATATTAAGAAATAAAAATGAATTTTCGGAAAAGATAAATGCAGAATGGTTATTTTTTGCCTCCCTCCTCCCCCATTACCTTGCGCCGCTTGTATGAATGTTGCGCCGCTTGTATTATGGTAATAGGGGTGGGGTGGGGGAGGTTGTGTAAGTATAAAATTGTATCTTATGTACATAATTGTTATTTTTTAAACATATTGTCTCTCATATTTAAATATTATCTTATAATTTTCTTGTTTGGCGGAGTTTAAAATAGCGTAAGTTACTATTATAATTTACAGCTTAAGTTATAATTTACAGTTTAAGTTATAATTTAAAGTTTAAGTTGCAGTTATAGTGTAATGGGCAAGTAACGTATTTAAATACTATGAAGATAATTCTTTTAGTAACTGTTTTTACTTAGCATGATACTTAAAAAGTAAAAAAATTAAGAGTAAAGACGCACTACAATATTTTAACCAGTCATAGAAAACTATTTAATATGTTCATGCTGACAATAAAACACGTGTTATTTCTAAAGAGTATTTAATTGTTATTGTAAAAAGCCATAAAACAAACTGCAAAGTTGTTTTAAAAATAAAAAAGGGCTTGTGCTAATGTAAAACGACTTTGTGACACTGTTTTGTGCTGTTATATATAGGTTATAACCTTAACAACATAAAATGTGTTTAAAATAAAATGAGCCAAATAAATGAAATTGTTCTAATTAATAAAAACATTGTTGTCATAAGACTTCATATTCAAAAACGACCAATCAAGTAAGATTAAAGCAAAAAAATATTATATAACACATTTTTTTATAATTTATTGTTTCTTGATCTAGCTATTGAAAATTTAAGTATAATTAAGTTTTTCATTCAAATGGTTAAAATTGAATGAAAACATCAATTTATGTTTTCATTCAATTTTTGTATTCAAATTGTTTTTTTAAGTTTAAGAAAATGCTTAAATTAATTAAAAAAATTTTTTTTTTTAGAACAGAAGTAAAATAATTTATGAATTTATATTTTTTTAATTTAATTTTTAGTTTAATTTTTTATCACTGGTTTCATGTTTCATGCAACAGAATGTTTCAATTTTTAAAGCTATTTTTAAAACAAAATATAATTAACTATTCAGAACGTTTATAAAATTTCTTCATTTGTTCTTTACACCTTATTTCTTTAAATTCATTTAAAATTTTCCAATTATTTTTCAATTTCAAATTTCAATCACAAAATTATTTGAATAAGAGAGTTTTAAAATACTAAAATTCTTTTGTCTAAATAGATTTCTTTTTAAATAAAATTCCTAAACACAACTTGCATATTTGTAGAAAAATAGAATTTATAGTTTAATCTTGATATCACTTTAAATATAATGAAAATATAAAAAAATGGTGTTGTATTTTTCATATTCGACAAAAAAATAATTTTTGGTTTATTAATTTAATTTTAGCAACATAAAACTTTTTTAATAACTTTTGCCAGTCTTTAAGTATATTGATTAAATTAATATAGTTGATGTGTTAATATATGAGTAATTATAAGTTACTGTAGCAAGTGGTTGTTTTGATTTAGTTTATAAGTAAATTTACTGTGATGTCCATTATCCATTCAGTAAATCAAAGTAGTTATAGCTTTAAAAAGTTCAAGGTCATTAAAGCAAAAATTATTGAAACAAAAAGTAGCTGGTTTCTATTGGCATTAATTAACTAATAGAATTTTTTTTAAGAAAAATGAA